TCCATATGCAACAAAATGAAATTAAGCCCCTTTATCTCAACTATGCAAAAAAAAAAAAACAATGAAAAGTGGATCCAGGTCCTAGGAATTAAACCAGAGACCCTGTGCCTAATAGAAGAAAAGTAGGCCCAAATATCCATCATGTCAGATTAGGCCCTGGCTTCCTTAATAAGACTCCTATTAAAACAAAATCAAGAATCAAGAAATGGGATGGATTCAAAGTAAAAAGCTTCTTCTCAACAAAAGAAACAACCAGTGAGGTGAATAGAGATCCTACTTTTTGGGAACAAATTTTTAGCACACACACATCAGGTAGAGCACTAATCTCTAGGATATATAAAGAACTCAAAAATATTAACACCAAAAAAACAAATAACCCAATCAATAAACAGGCCAAGGAATTGAACAGACACTTCTCAGAAGATGATAAACAATCAATCAACAAATATATGATCTCTAGCAATTAGAGAAATGCAAACCAAAACTTTTCTAAGATTTCATCTCACTCCAGTCAGAACGGCAGCTATTAAGAATACAAACAAAAATAAGTGTTGGTGAGGTTGTGGGGGAAAACACACATATATTGTTGGTGGGAGTACAAATTGGTGAAACCAATATGGAAAGCAGTATGGAGATTCCTTGGAAAACTTGGGATTTAACCACCATTTGGCCTAGATATCCCACTCCTCAGTTTATACTAAAGGACTTAAAAACAGCATACTACAGTGACACAGCCACATCTATGTTTATAGCAGCACAATTCACAATAGCCAAACCATGGAACCAATCTAGATGCCCTTTCTCATATGAATGGATAAAGAAACTGTGGTACATATAGACAATGGAATATTATTCATCATTAAAAGAGAATAAAATCACAGCATTTTCAGGTAAATGGGAGGAGTTGGAAAATATAATGCTAAATGATGTAAGCCAATCCCAAAAAACAAATGCTGAACGTTTTCTCTGACATGAGGATGCTGATTCATAATGGGGATGGTAGGGGAGCATGGGAGSAATGGAGGAACTTTAGATAGGGAAAAAGGGAGGAAGGTGRTGGGACAGGGCAGGAGATGGACATCATTACAMAAGTACCTGTATGAAGACATGAATGGTGTGACTCTACTTTGTGTGYAACGAGAGACATGAAAAGTTGTGCTCTATATATGTACTATGAATTGAAATGCATTCTGCTTCATATATAATAAATTATAATAAATAATTTTTAAACAAAGATTAAATCTGAAAACCCTGGTGGTCAAGAAACACAATTGAGATGTCACTTGAATGCATTCCTAAGACAGATTTAAGAAACATTAATTTTTGGATTGCCACTCATTTTTATCTTCAATATAGTAATTAAAGTTGTAAAATAAGTGATAAAAAGTGAGGCTTTCTATTATTGGTCAAAGTGTTTTTTCCTATATATTCTCACAACTTGGTCACCAATGTTCTAAGTTATTCTTTTTTTATAGAATCCAAGTGTATATTACTCACTATCTTACTAACCTATCTATATTTTAATTTCATAACTTTATCTCATCTGTTTTACTATGATTGTTTTAAAAATCACCTTTAGACTCAGTGGAATAGTAAAAATATTCATATGCACCAAGAAATTACTGTGATATCTCTTAACTCAAATTAAATTATTAAATTAAATTAATTTCCTCTATGACCAAGGGAAAACCTGTGAGACTATAAGAGTAAGTCTCAGTACTCAAAGCTCAACCTGACTACTTCAGATCCTTTTGGCTGATTCTGGTCACTTTTAGAAAGGGATTATAATTAACCAGATAGTTTGCTAAGGAGAATAATTCATTTAAATGGTATTTTCTTAGTAATTTTAACAATTTGAGAGAGTACAAATAAAATGAAATTTGTACTCCTCTTTTTCTGAAAATTGCTGTACTCTCTTCCAGTTATGAAAGAGGTAGGTGGATTGATGAAACTGAAATATATTAGTATAACTAACCAAATTGTAGCATTTTATTGACAATGATATACTTCTATCTGTAGAAATTCATTTTACAGAATTTACTCAGGTGTTTATTTTCCGGAAAATGGAAGGATTTTGTAGGGTTGGCTTAAATTCTTAGAAGAAATAATGTGAAAAATTTAAGAAAAGATAACACATTATATTTAGTGTTCTACTGGCAGCAATTGTTGAATCCCAGAATTTTCTGGGCTATTGTATTCTACCCTCCTTAATTGGTGATCCTAGCCTTATTTTCCCCAAATCTAGTGTTATATTTTGTTTTGTTTTGTTTTGTTGCCCAGCTCCTTATAATCCCAATGAAAGTTGGTTTGGAACATTTCTTTCATATAAAGGTGCAAATCATACTATTAAAGGGGGAAAGATTTTGACAGCTTTTGATTGACTGAATTCATTTTTAAAATAAAAAAACTAAGGATCAAAGATTTTGAATGCCATGTCCAAGATCACGCAGTGAATTTGTACTAGAAACCAAGTTCCTGACTTCCATCTCAATGACACCTTATAAAGATATATGGTATTTATATGTAAAGAAGGGTAAAAAAATTAAGAAAAAAAAGTTCTAATAGGGGGATGATTTTCATTTTTAGATGTGGCTATCTCTTGGTGATCAACATAATCAGTGTTAATTTAAAAATTAAGATTCCCAAAACTCCTCCAATTAGCTTACTGTTATAATCAGTACACTGCTTCTAAAACTGCATGACCAATGTGATTCTGCAACATGTGTACTCAGAAAAATGAGAAAGTATATCCCATCTGATTCAAATGTATATTGTCAGGATCATTGTACTGTCATGTGTAACTAAGTAAAACAATTAAAAAATAAATCTTCATTAATCACTTTTGAAGAGTCATAAATGAGCTTTGAAAGGATTATGGTGAAGGGTCTCCTACGGCTGAGAGTCCCCTATTATTGCTCTAGTTGGAACATCATAAGCTTAGGGTATGTATGTGATGTTTTAAATATATAAGAAATTTATTTTGTTAGAGAATAGCATTCCTGAATTCTTTCTTACTATTATGATAGAAAATATTTTTGCCATACAGGAGAAACCTTGGACCAACTATCCTTGGCATATCTCCCACGGAGACATAATTTCAAGYATGCACTTTTCAATCTACGAATTGAGTTTCACATCAGTAAATACTAAAGTCAATTCTAAATTGCATATTTTGACTCTAAAAAAATCCCAAACAATTAGTCACACCAGAAATGATCTCACAATCAGAAATTCTACCATTTGTATTGTCAATAATTAGTACAATTTAATTTATTATTGTGTTAGCAGAAGGGAACTAAAATGAGTATTCATGACTTATTTCATCATTAGGTTCTCTATGCTTGGGGAAATTAGAGTTATTAAATCTTTATTGGACTTTGTAAACAGTAATGTGCTGTTTGAGTGAGTAGGACTAAGAAATAGAATCCAGGATAATGGAAAGTGTAATTTCCAAGGGCAATGGAAAACTATGATTAAATAAATATCCAAATAAATAATAGTATTTCCTGAGAAATTTGGCAAGTGCAACTTTGTATATCTTCATGTCTCCAATAGAGCATTGTCTATCCATTTACCTCCTTTACATTTTACTTCCACCCAATCTGACAAGTATTCTCAGGGCTATTTTTCACATCCAGGATACATTACACTCCCTACTTTATTGCAATACTTCTTGAAACAGTATTTATTTTCTCTCCTAAGTACACAATTGAAATGACTCTCTCAAATCATGTCCAAGAGTCACCATTTGACCTCTAACCTAGGAGAGAGCAACTTACAAAGATGCCCCAACAGCTCCTCTATCTGTATAGATGACTACCATTATTCTTTACCTCATTTCCAAATTTATTTCTACTCCTAAAAGTCATCCTTATGTTAAACATTGCTACTTTAAAGTTATTGTAATTATTATCAAGGTTAAATCCACCACAATGCTCAGAGTGAAAATATATGAATAATATTTTATCATCTCCTACATACTGTTGACACATTTTCTATTATTTTCCCTGAACAATGACTTCTATATATTTACCTGTTACTATGTGATAGAAAAATTATATTCATGGCCACATCTAATCCTTTTAGCAAGCCTTGTCCAGATGACCCAAAGTATCTAGGTGGCTTGTTTGAAGTCATCCACCAACATAAATAGTTACAGCCTGGATTTGAAGCCAGGCCTCCTGGCACAGAAGCTCCAATCTTACCCACCCTAAGGTGTTGCTTGATGGACACTCACAAATCTTCCCTCACCTTGTTTCTGTTCACACAATCACAACCTGAACTTATCACCTATGGTTGGGCTTAAAACCATCAGTTTGACTTCAAGTCTCCCCCCTTCCTGTTCACGTTGAGAAGAGTTAATTTACTAAACAGTTGTTCATAAGTCTTCAATAGCTCTTCATAGTTTTCCAGAATCCCTTTCATATGTTATCTCCCATTAAATTTCACACTTTCTCTCATGTAAACTTGATCACATTTCCTTCTTTCTTGCTCCACCTTTGGATATCCCATCCTTTTATCCTCTCACACTTTTAAAATTTTATCTTGATATTTTCACTTTTTTGTTCTATTTTTCATCATGCATTTCATTTTGGTATATTCCAAGAACTTTAATATCATCAAGTAATGGAAAATGTTTGCTAGAGAATTTGAACAGTTTTTGAATTTGAGAGGAAAATGAGATGAATGTACTGTACTGTACTGTAACAGTACAGACAACCTGGCAAAGAGGGTAATAGAGTTACTTGTATTTTATTAGAAATAAGCAATATGAGTGGAGATAATGTAAAGACTTAGATAACCTAACTATAAGGGATAACCAGGGAAATGGTGTGAGATAAAGTTCTAACTTTAGATTTTAAATTATAAAACCTTTATATAGTGAACCACTCATTCTATGAGTGAGGAGAGTGCACAGAATGAAGCTTTGGATTGAATATAACAATTCTGATTTCTTTTTCATTCTCTTCTCCAAGGGAATTGTAGAGACCATCTCCTGGAATGTATCAATAAGTGAAGCAAATCATTCTGTGGTGACTGAGTTCATTTTCCTTGGACTCTCCAATTCTCAGGAACTCCAGATTTTCCTGTTTCTGTTCTTCTTTGTTTTCTATGTAGGAATTGTGCTTGGAAACCTTCTTATTGTCATAACGGTGGCTTCAGACTTACACCTTCACTCTCCCATGTACTTCTTGCTGGCCAACCTCTCACTCATTGATCTGTCTCTGTCTTCAGTCACAGCCCCCAAGATGATTGCTGACTTTTTCAGAACACGTAAAGTCATCTCTTTCAAGGGCTGCCTGGCACAGATATTTCTCCTTCACCTCTTTGGTGGGAGTGAGTTGGTGATCCTCATCGCCATGGCCTTTGACAGATATACAGCTATCTGTAAACCCCTACGCTACACTACAATTATGTGTGGCAATGTGTGCGTTGGCATTGTAGCCGCTGCATGGGGGATTGGTTTCCTTCACTCAGTGAGCCAGTTGGCCTTTGCAGTGAACTTACCCTTCTGTGGTCCCAATGAGGTGGATAGCTTTTACTGTGACCTCCCTCGGGTAATCAAACTTGCCTGTACAGACACTTACAGGGTGGATATAATGGTCATTGCTAACAGTGGTGTGCTCACTGTGTGTTCTTTCGTTCTCCTAATCATCTCCTACACCATCATCCTAATGACCATCCAGCGTCACCCTTTGGATAGATCATCCAAGGCTTTCTCCACTTTGACTGCTCACATCACAGTAGTTCTTTTGTTTTTTGGACCATGCATCTTCATTTATGCCTGGCCATTCCCTGTTAAGTCATTAGATAAATTCCTTGCTGTCTTTTATTCTGTGGTCACTCCTCTCTTGAACCCAATTATATACACGCTGAGAAACAAAGACATGAAGACTGCAATGAGACGGCTGGGAAAATGGAATAGGAATTCAGGGATAACATCTTAGGTCTTCTGTAACTGAGAGATTGATTTGATATAATGACATAATATATAGTAAATTTTGTAAGTTATTTAGAAAAGTTCACGAAAATTGTTACTTCCATTCCCACATCATTTAATAATTGTTAAATACATATGCTGCATCAATTTAGCTTTCAACATCTTTGTGTGCTTTATTTTTGGATACAAATGTAAAATTAATATCATGCATTCAAAAGACATTACAAATTTTTACAACAATGGAAAGCGTAAATCCATTAGTATCTGGGAGCCTTCATGGGTAATTTTGTGTTAAACAGAGGTCAAGATGAAAACTAGCCTGGCTTATACAAATATTTTTCAATTTTATTTGTCTCATTTACACTAAAAACATCAATAAAGGAATTACCACATGACTATCTCAAGAAAGTATGCTTAGTGACATGGATTTATGTAAATTTTTAAAAGGTTAAAAAATTGTAAGAGGCTTAACAATTTATAGTTTACTTCCTGCCACTATAACAATCCTTACTYTATGAGTGAATTATCAGAGAATGTAGGAAGAGTAAGGCTACCAACATGAAATTTACCTTGAAGGTACTTGATATCTTGTGGTATATGACAACACCTTATAAGCAACAAAAAGAATTTAAAGGGATCCAGTGTCTTGGTATGTTGGCATGAAGTGTATTGCTTGAATCCACCTGTATCCTTTTTTCATGATTAGCTTTTTAAAGTAAAAAAAATAAAAATAACTAGGGTCAACTCTGCTTACCTCTTACTAACCATATCTTAAGTATATTATTTAGCTATTGTAGCTTTAGTTTCCATATTTTAAAACAAAGAGATAATAATACTTGTTGCATATGGTTATTATAAGAGACAATGAGTTGGGCACAATAGTACATGCCTGTAATCCCAGCAGCTCTGGAGACTAAGAGAGGAGAATCGCAAGTTCAAAGCTAGCCTCATCAATGGYGAGGAGCTAAGCAACTCAGTGAGACCCTGTCTCTAAATAAAATACAAGGGCTGGGGATATAGCTCAGTTGGTAAAGTGCTTGCCTTGCATGCACAGGGTCCTGGTTCAATCCCCAGCACCACAAAAAAAGAAAGAAAATACAAAATAGGGCTGGGGATATGGCTCAGTGGTCCAGCCAGTGCCCCTGAGTTCAATCCCCAGTAATAAAAAAAAAAAAAAGAGAGAGAGAGAGAGAGAAAATGAAATAATGAAAAAATAATAAATATATATCAGATAACACAATTTGTGGCATATTCATCACTCAATAAATATTAAGTAATTTTATAATTATTATATAAACCCTATATATCAACAAAGTCAAAGGTTCTCAACCATTATTTTTTCCCTGACACAACTGAGGAATGCAGTATGTTCTATTCATAGCAAATGTTCATTGAGAGCACAGCAGTCCTAAGAGGAAGGATGTGTATTTTTGTGCCAGTGTGTGTATTTATGTATGTACTCTTGCATTCAGACTTCGCCATCCTCAGAAGRCACTCTAAACAATCAGTATGAAAGAAGATAAGAATACCAGTTGAAAAAAGACACTTAACAAATGATTCTGACAACTCTCTCCTCTTCCCAGTGAGAATCCTAAGGAAAAAGGAATGTATTGTCAAAGTTTGGCTTGAATTAATAGATAAGGAGAGTCAGATAATAAAAGGGTTAGATTATTTCTACTCCAGGAAAAAAGATGATGAGATTTATAAGCATATTTAAAACACCTAAGAAAAATAGTATATGTTAATGACAGTATTTCAAATCAGTGAGAAAAGGAAGGACCCATTAAACTGACAGTGGGAAAAAAATTGTATAGCAATATGGGGGGAAACAGTTCAAATATTAAAAGAAAACATGAATTAGTGTCTTTATAATCTATAAATGTGATAAAGATTAATACTATTGACTATGTAGAATTAGTTTTTAATGAATTGATAAAAATATCTAAAAAAAATGAGAAGATAGTGAGAGGTATTTGCAACTCACATCACAAGGAGTAACAGTTCTAATATGTAAAGAACTTCCAAAAATCTAACAAACTAATAGAAAAATGGACAACTAATATAAACTTACAGTTCATACTTTAAAAGGTGAACACCATCTTTAAATACATACATGATAAAATGTTCAAGCTCTCTTAGGTTGAGATATATGCAAAGTACAGTGATACTTAATGTAAAGAATCTCAAAGAAAGGAGATACAGAGACAAGGTGAAGGGGCAGGGAAGGTGGCAGAGTAGCTCTTTGTTCAATCGGCCACATTTATTTATACCAATAGGTTACATTAGGTCATCAACCAAAACCACAATATTATTATTGTTTAGAGTATCAATAAAGTTGCTTATACTGCAGTTACATTTCACAGTTACAATATGTAACTGTGGAGTTTTGTGCAGTTCTCAAGAAAGTCCATTGTCTGAAGTTACTATTAGGTGGGCAGCTCCAGGAGCACCAGAGCTTGATGAAACATTGTAGTTATCAAGCAAGCAACTTCCTTTATTCCCAGGAGCTATGTGCCCAAAGTCAAGATGGAAACCCTCCTGAAGAGCATTGCTACAGTGGCCAGGCATCCCATGTCTTTGACACAGAAGTTTCCCAGCAGCCAGGCATTCTGTACCTTTGCACAGAAACTTCCTAGCAGCCAGGCATGCAACTTTCATGAAGAGTATCAGAGACCCAATCCCAAACACAGAACTCCTACAATTTAAATGTCGGATCTGGTCTATATGGTATTGAGTATCTGACCTAAGTATGTGATAAAACAACCTGTTGATGAACCTATGAAGAGGTACTCATGCCTTGTTGGTGAAAAAAAATGGTAAAACCTCTTAGCACTACCTAGAAAAATTAACATTCCATTTATTTTTTATCTGGAAATCTTCTAAGGATATATTAGCAAAAATACAAAACAACCAACCACAAGGCTTAAAGCATTGAGATATTGTTTTTAATAGCAAGAAATGAAAAATACCTAAGATAAGATCAGTAAAAATGAACTCCTCACATAAATTATATATTAATGCAGTTTTAAGCAACTAATATCTCCAAATACTTTTCTGGAATAATAGACAAGATATTTCATAAGTGAAAAACAATAATGTGCCAAAGAGTGTCTCTATAATGCTGATTTCTATGTTAAAATGGAGATACATATATATTAGATTTATATGTATATGTAGATGTATAAATATTTAAGTAAGCATTTTAAATAGAACATGAAAAACAACAAAAAGTTTTATTTTGGCAGGATAAAGAAACAAGGCAAGGCACAGGGATAAAAGCCAGGTTTTCTGAATATATCTTATGGTTTGGCTTTGGAATCATATAACTATTTTCTATATACTTAAAATTAAATTAAATCAACAGAAAAAGAAACTTCAATCTCAAAAGAAAATCACATTTAAACCAAAACAAGTAATTTAGTGGCATTTTTAATTGGGTGGTATAACATCAGAGAAAATAATCATTTCATTAGACACTAAGACAAAGTCAAAGTGATGTGGAATATATCCTGAGAATGGAAAACATAAAAAGAACCAAAACTTCTTACCTGCTACTAGTAAAAATATTAGTTTTACTGTTACAGAAATATTTTGAGTAAGTAAGTAATTGTGTTAATAGCAATAAGAGTCAAAATTGTCAGCATTAAAGAAAATACTAATTAAAACACCAAATAATATTTTCTTATTTGAATTAGAAATATGAAGTATTAACTTAGTTTTCTTTTACTAATAATAAAAGTATTTCTTAACTCTATCCACTGAAAAGACTTTGAAGCAAGGACAGCCCAGTAGCAATGAATTCACCTAATGGTCTTGTGCAGCATTCAAATGCTATTTTCCACTAAGAAGAATCAGGGATTCTTAGGTAAATAATTCATTATAGATCTGAAGCAGAAACACACATGATTGTTCTGGAACATGTTTTTCAGGTCTCAATGAAAGGAAGCTAAATAAAAATATTGGGATCATGTCAAAAAAACACAGGAGCCAACTTCAACAGTTAATAGTTAACCAGAAATGAAACCATATAAGCATAAATAATAAGAATGATGAGTTTAACAGATTGAAGCCTCACTACATAAAAGTATCCATAAAAATCACAATAATTATCAAAATAAGATATAGTATATTTCCATCCTTTGGAAGTAATTAATATGTCTACTAAATATTCTGAAACTTGACAAAAAAGAAAGGCCCAAGTAATATATTATGTCCTTCCTATATGATAATTTTGAGAGGAGGTAAATACATTGTTGATGAAGAAAAATATTTGTAAAGAAATTTCAAGATACTGGGGTTGGGGTTGTGGCTCAGTGGCAGAGCACTTGCCTAGCACATGTGAGGTGCTGGGTTTGCTCCTCAGCACCAGATAAAAATAAATTTTAAAAAGCCATTTTGTCCAACTACAACTAACARAACATTTTTTTAAAAAAGAAATGAAGGTAATAATCTCAGGAGGGGAGGCAAGAGGATGGCAAATCTAAGCCAGCCTCATTAACTTAGTGAGACCCTCTCTCAAAATAAAAAATTTTAAAAAAAGAAATTCAAGATACTAGTTGCAATGAGAAATATAGAACTAAAAAAATCAATATTTTGAAATTCATAATGAATCAATGGGTCTAAGGCAGCAATCAATAGACACTAAGATGATTGATTAACAGTTTTCAGGAAAAAAAAACTTATAAGAAAAAGATAGGCTGACAATACCTTAACACATTGTTCAATATTTATATCACATGGAGGAAATAGGAAAAAATAACACAAAGTATAAAAATGAGCCTGATTAATAAACACTCTCTAATGCCAGTCTATAGGAAAACTGTAGCAGAGAGAAATATGTGAGAACACTACATGAATTCAATGACATAAATACAAAGCACAGATTCTTCAGATCCATTTCTGGACCTCCTCTCCTACACTCTGGAGCTCAAGGTTTCTGTGCTATACAGGTACTGAYAGAACCACAGGGAGAATGCTGGGCATCCAGAAAACCAGGAAATGATAGGTCTTCTCATCGAACGCAAGAATTCTCACCAGAGGAGAAAACAAAAAGTTTATCATTCCAAAAGCTGAGCTTCATTCATTTTGTTAGCACAGAGTT